CCTTTCCTGTCCTATTTTCAATATTCCCAAAACTCTTGTCACCATTACGCATCAGGATTCCACCCTCTCCCCATTTTACTCTCCGTATTTTTTTCTCGAAACTTGTTTACGATAAAGCCAGGCAATAAAACTAATTCATTGTGAGATGTAAACAACTTTATTTTGCTACGCAAGTATCCGTTCGACCTCCGGCAGCCATCTAATCATACACGTGAAAGAGGCATTATCTCGATTAATCGTAATGAGGGGAAGTTGTAGAGGCCAATTACTTTTCTAATGCCTTTCCGGTTTGAGAAATTGCTACCTTAGAATTACAAAGTTCTATCTGCTCAGTACCAAGTTATGCGAGTTTTGGCGCAAACAAATTAAGTTTCATAACATGTCAAGCAGCTTTTTCCAAGGCAATTCTTTGAATATCTTGATAATGATTCCGAATAATCGTACGAATAGACCAGATCGAACATTTGGTTTCTGGCCTCACTCATCGTCTTAGTAACTCAAAACGGCCAAAAATGTCAGATAGAACATTTTAATTCTAAGGAAGCAAAATACTACGCTGGGATTGCGAATCGAGCCTCGCAGGTCCATGTCTCTATAGAAGTAATTAGAAGCAGATTTACAAGCTTTTTTGGCTGAAATGCCAAATTAGTTTAGTTTTAGTTAGAGTCTTCCGGCACTGGCAACACAAATAGGCCACATGAGTGTCGAACATAAGAGTGTTATAAGAGTACCAAACAAGCAAACGAAGGAATAAAGATAAATAAGATAGATGCCTAATGGTAAAAAATGAGAAAACCACTCCAGAGCACCCGCCAACCCTCAGCAAAAGCTAGATTGTGTGAGTTTGGGGGGGGGGGTTATATTTTAGTTTGGTTAGTACAGTGCTCAGGCGATACTTATCCAGACCTTCCTTTAATTTCAAATTTGGGAATCGTATCCACGTTTTTTTGGTGCAGTGACAAAGACTAAGAGCCTAACCAACGCAGAACGGAAGGCAGTATCTCTCAAACATAGCTCTGATACACTTTATGAATCGACGTGAACACTAGCTCCTTTACTTTGGGAAATCTGACGACGAGCTTTCCCTAAAAAATGAGAGGAGTGTGTGTGTGTGTGTGTGTGTGTGTGTATGTGTGTGTGTGTGTGTGTGTGTG